GGCCGCCCATCTTATCCACAAGTATGATTTTTTTAAGTCCCAAGTATCTGCTTTCTGAAATTGAGTTAATCAATATTCAGAAAATTAAACGAAATGCGAAAGAGTCCCAAAACTACACACACAAAAAAGGGGAATCTATATGAAAGGGAAACTAATGTCTTGAAGATTTCCTCTCAAACGAGAATCGATTTTTCATGTTTGAACGCGGCAATTTAACTTCTACCCAACTCGCTATCCCGGCGACTTCCAAATTGAAAAAATCCTGCTTTCACTGAAATACTATTGATATGCTCTTGTATTTCCAAGAAAAGCACCATCATTTTAATGAAGAATTGTGTTACTCAAAGTATTCATTAATCGACAAGAGTTTGTTAAGAAAAAACATTAAAAATTAAAGCATATTTGATATTAGATTAGTTTGACAAACATGACACAGGAATGTAGTAGAAAAGCTCAAGAAAATGGCTTTAACAGCGTTAGAGAGATCAATTAGTGCGATTAGTTATTTAATAGGAGTGATTAGCTATTCAATAAGAGTGATTAGGTATTTAGTAAAACATATCGATAATTTAATGAGAGAGATTAGTTATTTAATGAGAGACTGAAGAACCGGCAGTCGTTGGAGGCTCGAATTTTGGGACGAATTGCTGGTAATCTGGCATCTGAAACAACATAATTGAAAACAAGGTCAAATTCGTACAGGGAAAATCAGAGCACGGCTTTTAAAAATGTTTCATGATAACCATTATTTTATGGAACAAAGGAAGCAAACAATTATCGAACTCCTTGCCGAAACAGGCCGATCCGGGAAGTATGGGGAAATTTATGTTTCAATTTTCAAAAACTTACATTCGGTGGAACAAGCATGAATGGTGGTGCCATTGAATATCCTTGCATCATGTATGGATTCGGAATACATGGCATTGGTTGTGGAGCACATCTTTGGGCGTTTCTCTCATTTTCTGATTTTTCTTTCGACAACATCTTCTTGTAGCGGATTCTCTTATTTCCGAACCAATTGCTGACCTGAAACATACAAAGTATTGCGAAAACATTACAACCCTCCTCCGGATAATCTTCCACTCTGTTTCCTAGGAATACGCATTACTAACCTGTCCTACACTAATATTACACTGGCGAGCCAGCTCTTCTTTTTCTTGCTCCGTTGGGTATGGATGAGTGATGTGGGCTTGGAAGTAGTTGTTGAGAATCTCCGTTGACTGTCGTGAGAAGTTCTTTCTGGTTCGCCGAGCATCCATGTAGACTCTCTTCAAGTGAGTGACGTTTTCGCATGAACGCTGTTTTGCACATTCGATGACTTTTTGAAACTTGTGGGATACCATATTCGACATGCATTCGATATCCTGAAACAAAAGATTTTATGAACTTACTCTCATTTTTAGCTATACCTTGTGAGTGATCGGGCGGAATTCCCCTTGAGATCTTATAACATTTGACACAGTCTCACTGAATTCTGCCCGCCTTTTGTGACACGCACCGATCTCTTGGTTGAGATCATTTTGCACACTGTTTAGCTCTCTGTTGAAGTCCGGCTCACGCTTAATATCTGCCACATGAGATGGATCACATCCTGGAACCACAATCCCCTCGGCTGTGAGCATGTTGTCAAGCATTTTTTCGTTTTGATTGTTCACTGGACAAAGAGCCGGGCGTGGAGAAATTGACACTTTCTCTTTGTTATCAATCAATACAGACTGCATTGCACGATGAAGTGGATTGACTCTGATTTGGCATTTTCTGAAAGTAAGATAGATGAGTACATGTAATTATCAATACGATAGCATGTATTTCAACATGAAAAACCTAATCGTTTGATCAGATAAATTTAAAGTTTCTGATTTCTAAAGTAGTCAGAACTCCCCACTACACAAGCAAAATTAGAATAAAGAAGCGGTATTACTCATGTCTAGTCAGTATAACAAGAGAACCTCAACAACTATCTAAACATCGTTGAAGATTTTAGACTCCGTTCGCCATATTCAGCCAATTTATATTAGTTGCAGTTCCAAAAATCACGTTTTCAGGGCGAAACAAGGGAACTCAAAAATTAAAAAAAACGTTTTTATGAGAAAAATTGTTAATAATGAAATTTCATTAAATTCTGAGTATAACGCAACCAACTTTTTGTGTTGAAAAGTCCCAGAAGTTTAGAAAATCGTCTTTGAAAATCGTTTTTTTGCATTGAAAAGGAGATTTGTGTTACTGAAAGCGATAACCCAGCTGAAACTGGCGATCGGAGAGGCTATTCGCAACTTGAAAATTGTTTTATCAAAATCTGAGTTTAAAAGGTGTTGAATTTCCTTCGTTAACGTTTCTAATTTCTAGGTCAGCCCGAATATGCTACTATGAAATCGCAAATAAAATTGAGAAAGGATATTTAGACTGAAGTTTAGTCACTATGATTTGAAAAAATTTATGTGTCAGTATCGAATTTTAGGCAGTTTCCATAAAAACACAGTTGGGTATTTATTTCCATTATAGGCCCCGAAATATTCTAATTAAACGCCCCCTGACAATAATAGGCATAGGCCAAAGCGGGAGGAAATATCGATGATTCCAAAAAACATAAGCTTATCTCCCCAAACCTGGAAGTTTTGAAGATTCCAGAAGGAGTCTATGCCACCATCATTTCAATAAGTCCCCCTCTCCCGCAATCCGTTCCAATCTGACCCCCCCCCCCCCGCGTAGTGGTATTCTGTGAGTTGCGTTTGGGGGTGCATATTGGTTTGCCTGGGGGTTATAATGAAAGATTTCCACGGATTCCAAAATAACCCCGAAATCAATGTAATTCTCCCACACAGTGTCCTACAAAATAATTTGAATGAATATCCAAAACTCACAATGAATTCATGGCATTCTCATCAAGCGTCATATCGGTAATTTTTGTGACTTCTGCAAGTAGTTCGGCAAGATTAGTCGGTCCTCCCATCGCTCCTGAAAATGATTTATTGTTGATGGATGCTGACAAGTGATAATAGAAGAGCAACTTGAACGGACACAACGAAAGAGGAAAAATGAAGAGAAAGTGACACTTGACAAGAAATAGGACAAATTATGATGACAAGATGGGTACGTGAGTATAGGAGGGAGTTGGGCGGATCAAGTGTGTCGTTCGATAGGGCGTATTGGTGATCGGGGGGTGAAGAGAGACAGTGGTCCGCAATATGCGGTCAGTGTGCGCGCAATGACGTAACCCGCTATGTATTATGCAGAGGTCAACCGATCAATGTGCAGAAAATACCTACGTCTTCTTATTATACCTGCGTTTTCGTCTGTACATCATCTACTTCTCTTCACCTAGTTTATTGTTTTTTTGTTTTTACCGCCCATAATTAATACATGGGAAAGTTGTAAAATGAATAGTCTATCTGTAAACTAACAATACATTTTCTCAACTAAAATTTTTTCATAAAACTGTTACTAACATCAACTACTGGCATGATTTGTTTGATAACATATAGATCTTTTGTGTTAGTTCAAAACAAAATAACCAACGAATATTTTTAGAATTCACCAATTTTCAAAAAATGAGAAAGAGCAAGACTTCTTGTGACAAATCGCTCTTGCTAAAAATAATGAATTCTCGAATAATGCATGCCAATACTGCATCTGATATGTCGTTAATGAAAAAACCCAGAAATGTCGAAAAATGGAAAATAAATTGTATTAAAGTTTGGTTCAAAAATCATACCCAAGAGCTTATCAGTTTTCTGAGTAGGACCCACGTTATGAGGGAAATAGAATTAGAGTCATAGGACTATATATTTTTTGAGAACACCCTTACTTATATTCTAGTTTTTCATACTAATTTCTAGTTTTAATTGCCCCATTTCGCCTACTCCCTACAAATTGTAGAAAATGATTTTACCATTTAAAATTTTTTGCATAGTTTTATTTTAGAAACTTCCCTCAGGGCTCTTGGTTTCATTATGAATCAATCAATGGTTTTTTTTCGGAAAAATAAGCAAATTTTTATTGCAATTTAGAAAATAGGCAATGCATATTCTCATTAGCTGGTTTTAATTTTGTAAGCTTCTAGCTCATGAAAACTCCAAATTTCGCAACAAAGGTATGGTCCCTCTATAATCAAACACAGCCTAAAAAACAGTCTGTCAGTTAATCCTTCCCAAAGAAGAGAGGTGGTGGGTGAGACTAGCACCTTGACTCCTTTCTTCCCCCAAACGCTAATCCGTATCGTTTTCGCATTGTTGTCTACGTACCTACCTATCGCCTCCTCCAAATTATTCGTCTCCAACTTTACGCATGAAACCTTTTAACCAAGACAAAATCTCATATTACAGCTCTTCAATGTTGTTCCAAGATGAATCATCATATGCCAATCCAGGAATCTATCGCCAGTCACTGGAAGAAATCATGTACACTCCAATTAGAAAAGTCGAGAAGAAGCAGTTCCACGACGAGACGTTGTCCAGTGCCAAACGAGTAACAACGCTATTGCAAAAGTTTGAAAGCGGCAAGCTTGATTTGTCAATTGATACCGAGGAAATTAAAGATGTGAAACATCACGAAGACGACATTCTCGATGGACCAGTTTATCCGATTTTATTCACACCAACTCCAAAACCAAGAACGATTCGAAGAGGATTGAGGCCAAAAGAGGCAACGGAATATCATGACGATAAGTTAGTCACCGAGAAGAAGAAGGAGTGTCCCGTGATCGTGGAAACACCAATTTTGCGTACAATCAACCGCCAGTTCTCTGGAGTCAGCTTCATCGAAACACCGTTCAAGCTATCAAGAATCAACCTGGAGGGAAGCGCAAAACGTCAAGAACCGTATGAATCTAGACAGAAAACAAAGTCAACGGAAGTTGAAGACCATACTTTGGTCACCAAGCAGGAAAAAGAGAGTCCAGTGCTTGTGGAAACGCCAATTTTGCGCACGCTCAATCGCCAATTCTCTGGAGCCAGCTACATCGAGACACGATACAAGCTATCAAGGAGCAACTTGGAGAAATCCACAGAACTACTGGAGCAGTATGGATCAAGACAGACATCAAAGTCTACTGGTTCTTCATCAGGATCCTCAGAAGCGTCGTCTTCCGATTCTAATGATAACAGGTATGGTCGTGGTTACAAAGAAAACTGACTGCATGCGAGTCCTTTGTTTTCAGAAACGATGTGAACACTGAAACAGCCTCCGATAGCTTTAACACGGCAAATCGCTTCTACTTCTCCAAGTTCGCTAGAGCCCAAGTTCACCACAAATTCGAAATGTATTTCAAATGGGACTCTGAGAGTGAGTTTTTTTCGTCATACACGAGTTTTCGACTGAATTCAGATCTGCGTCATTTTTCGAAAAAAAGTGTGTTTTATCAAAAAAGAAATAATTCCCCGTTTTCAATGTCATCATAAAGTTAGAAATCGAAATATCATTTTTCCAACTCACAAAACGATTGTTCCATTTTCTTTTTAGCGCAAAAATTAAGTTTTGCTAAAACTATATATTTTATACATTTTTAACAAAGATTCATCAATGAGTTAATGAAAAATTTCAAAAAAGAAAAACCAAAAAAAGGCCTCTTCTAATTAAAGAGTACTTATATTAGTAGGATCCACTAAAGCTACACCGGAACAATAGAAGGGGCGCGGCTCTTCTAATATAGGTTTTACGGTATAACGATTTCAAGTAATAATTTGACAAATTTATGGCGGATCATTACTTATACAAAGAATTGACATGTTTCCTGAAAATTGAGCTGCTAAATTGAAAATTCGCAATACAAATCAAAGTGGGATAGAAATCAAAGTTATATGTTGAGGTGTAGAGAGTTAAGTGTAGAGCGATTTTTTAAATTTAATCATGATCATTCCAGCGCTTCGTTCATGTGCAGTCACCGTGTCAAAACTACGTTTTGAGATTTTGCAAAAGATCCCGCAGTGCGAGAAGGATGAACGTGTTATTCGAATGATGAAAATCTACAAAAAATGCAGTGAAGGAGTTAATAAAGAGATGGACACTCTCTGCTGTGCCCTATTTGACCTTCTCGATGACGTCAATGATAAACGGCTTTCGATTCATGAGGAATATGTTGTAGAGAAATATAACAAAAAGATCGCGAGTTTTGGATCCAGATAACTAATAAGATTTCACAGCTTGAACGCCTCTTTTTTTGAATTGTAATATCTTCTCAATCATCAGGCAGCAAATTCCATTTTTATTCGATTCATCTAATCTCAAATGTGATATTGTACCAACGTTTTCTTCTCTCCCTTTGTTTTTCATATCTATCGTTCAAATTGTTTTTATTAAAACTCTCTCCTTGTTCTTCTGGTCTTTTCTTTTTTCCTTGTCAAATTTTTTGTTGTATTTTCGCTATAATAATCAGATTTTTACTTTCTTGCTGAGATAAAAACCTTGAATTTGAATTTTTCTTTTCTTAGAATCGAAACTCATCATAAATGATTACTGACATTAGACAACAATTATATCTCAAAGTTTGCTCTTCGAACCTTTGAAGGATAGCTTTGTTTGCTCAGTTTTTTTTTGAGGCACCTGTTCTCACAAACGACTGAATAAAAAACGCAGTATTCAAAAACATCTGCTCTCCGCGAATTTCCGTAAAAGTTGAATTTTTAATGGAATGAAAGAGCCAGGTAACCAAGAAGCCAGAGTTATTTCCCTTGATTGAATCAAGGCAACGTCTCTGGCTACTCGATTATCATTACTGGCTATTTCCAGAATGACGACTGACGTTTATAGAGAGGTTCTTGCTATTTTTTATCCGGCATTCTTTGTATCATCTTTACTCATTCAAGCAATCCTAGTTTATTTTATTATTTTCCACTCTCCGAAAAGTTTAGAAACAATGAAAGTGTTCCTAGTGAACACTAGTGTCTTCCATGTTATTCTTATTTTTGTAAGCTGTGCTTCACAGTTTAGAATGATATCCACATCAGTGCCCATTGAGTTACGAAGTTATGGACCTTGTAAATATTTCGAGGCTTGGATGGGCTATTCGCTGTACCAGATGTTGCAGGTAAGTACTACAGCTCAATTTTTTGAGATTTTCAAAAATGCGAGTTTAAGCGGCATTAAAGGTGGGGGGACAGGAGATTTTTCGTAGTTTTTTTGTAGCTATAGTATGCATTCTACCGTCACGGTGTACAACGCTTAATGTCACTCTGCGTACAGCTGTCGTCTTCGCCTTTATGTATGCTATCGGGCGTGCGCTTTCTCTTTGCCCGCGTGGCTCAGTCGGTAGCGGCGCCGCACCCTCAATCATCGCCCTCACAAGTTCAACTCCTCGAGGGGCATCTTTGAACGGAATTTCGTGAAAATTATTTTTTTCATGTCCCCCCACCTTCAAATAACTTTGACACTCTAATAGAATACCACCCAAATAACGTCAGAATTCCAATTTTAGAATCTAAAAGATACCGTGAAGCATTGAATAAAAGGCCCCTTGATTCTTTACTTCAAGCCGATTTATCTTGCTTCCTGGGAAATATATCAAAAAGTGGTAAACAGACAAAATGTTCCATGAGGTGCAAAGTTTAAAGTTAGGGAATTTTATTCATAAAAGAGGTTACGTTAGTTTCAACATGTTCAACATATTTTTGAGCCAGTTTATGTTACCATTCTGTAAACAAACGTTCAAAGCAATCCCAACATTTTTAATGTTCTCCAAAATTAATCTTTTCAGACTTCCGCATTTATGAGTGGCATGTCTATTCTGGTCACCTTCTTTTTCAAATATGAAGTCGTTCGATGTATCAAACTTCCGCGTTGTCGGATAATCATTATTGTTATCGGGTTCCACATCCCCATATTTGTCTCATTAGTAAGACCCACACAAAAAGTAATTATTGACAATTAACGTTACAGTTGATGGAGATAATCATGGTTGTTACACAAGCCTTACCAGATGATGTCCGAGAAAAATATAGACTCATCAATAGTAACGTACAAGAATACTCGGTAATCGGATCACTGAGCTTGAAAACTCTACCGAGCATAATCAATTTTGCCCTTATTTCTGGAGCTGTTGCATTTGCACCTTTCATATCGTTTTTTTTCAGGAAGTAAGAATTTTTGATATTCGCAAATATTATCGTTTTGATTACAGCAAAATCTTAACTCGAATCAACTCCAAGCTGAATCATCATTCCCAACAGCGGAAAACTTTGATACGGGTGTTTGTAAAAGTGGGTCTTTTATATTTTGAAATTAGAACTTGCGGTTAAAATGCTATCATAAAACGACAGTTTAAGTTGAATATTGTTTAACTTGGGTGTCTGAAAAAGTATTTATTACTTGTATGTTTGATTTGAAAATTGTAGAGATTTTTAATGTTTGTTGCAAAAAAAGCTCTATGTTTGTTGCTGACTTTTGCGTGAAAAAATTTAGTCCTTTTTTCATCAATCTTAGTAATTAATTCCAAATTTTTAAGTGCATTTTTAGGTAAATTTGAAATTTTAGGTATATATATTTTTTTTTTAAAATATAAGACAAAATCAAATTTCTATAGTTGTTTGATAGTTTTCAAATTTTACGGGCCAAACGGTCAAGTAATGAATACTTTTTCAGACAGTTATCCGGTTTTTTTGCAAAATACATTTTTCAGGGTCTCACTATTCAAGCCTTTCTACCGCTTATATTCTACGTCCCAATTTTTGGGCTTTACATCTATTGCATTCTAACCCGTAATCTCCCTAGACTCCTTTTTTGCAAAATTGCTCATAATTTCAGACTTCGAAGTTCTCTTCCAGCAATACTTCATGACGGTCGTCCCTTCGCTACCTGCCCTTTTCGATCCATTAATAACTTTGTACTTTGTGACGCCATACAGACGACGATTGAAAATTTGGATGCGAATTGAGAAGGAATCAAAAGTTATGCCTGTCATAACATCACAAATCAACTAATCGTTTCTCGATTTTGTGCAAATATCAATGAAATGGATAAATGCTTCCAGACTCTGTAATTTTCATGACACTTTGATATTAACATGTACATGCTATTTCAAATACAACTTTTCGAATTTGACATATAGTTAGTAAGAAAGTGATGTGGGTATATAATCAGTTTCGCTTTTGCTTCTGATCCATTGGTATCAGAAAAAATTCTTTAATTATGAGAGGAAACGGTTTTTTTTTTCATTCAGGATGAGTTGGTTTGATTCTTGGTAGTGGGAGAAACGGTGAAAAAAATGAACAATTAGTTCTTAGAAATGTGGAATGTATAATGCAAATATCTTCACGGAGATTGAAAAACAAGATTTCTGATTTTGACCTTGTTCTATTTTCCAGACATTCAAACCACCCGGCAAGCAAGAACTTATCAGGAAAACACAAGAAAAATGTTCAAAAAATTTAATCCGAATTTACAAAAAATTCTGATTAATAATTTTGCTGTTATCAGCTTTTATATTTGAAAACTGGCAGGCTAAAAGAACTGCAAAAAATTTATTTTTCAACGACTTATTATACTGGTACAAAAAAGTCATAGTCAGAAGTCCCACAACTACCGTATTCAAAAAATACTTTCATTTTCTCGATTTCCGTACCTTTTCAGTCACTTTTTGCGCTACTGAAAATCCTCCTTGATCACTCAATATGATAATAACCAAAGTAGACAAAAAAAAAATAAAACACGAGGAAATAAGTTCTGAAATGCAATTATTTCTGGTTTATTTTCGTTAAAGGACCTTTGGCCACGGCTACTGGCGGTTTTCTTCTTCCGATTGTTTGCCAGTATTATAATCTTCTGATTCTTCTTATTAAAAATTCCAACTTACTCAAAACCAAACCTGTCAATTTAGAAATGTTATATTTCAAAATTTCTATTATGACTCACTTGAATATCCGCATCACCTTTTCATATATGAGCCACTTCAAAACCATTGAACACACCTTTTCTCTTGTTTTTTCTTCATCTCCACTAATTATTATTATCCCGCCAAGTGTTTTTTTTTCAGATCTGTATGAAGTTTGATTTCAGTTTTTCTATTATCCGTTATTTGCTATACTCTAAATGTCTTTTTCTCTTCTACAACTTCTGCTGAACGTCAGCACCGCGAGCCGGTGGACCTTCAAACCATGCAATTATTAAAGAAGGAAATATTGAACAACCAGTCATTTTTCCCAATCTCATTTCTACACTTTTCCTCTGTCTCGGACTAGTTTCCGCATTAGAAGATGCCATCTAGCGAAACATATCTAACCTTCTTATTTTTCTTTTATCCTATTCTAGCACTGGCATCGTGGGCCAGTCAATGTCTGACCAATTTTTTCATCTTACGTCATACCCCAAAATTTATGGAAAAATTAAAATATGTGATGATCAATACGAGTGTGTTTCAAACTGCTCACGTTTCTGTATGCTGGCTTATGCAGTTCCGTCAAGTTTCCAACGCGGATCCTATTCAAATTTGGAGCTACGGTCTGGGGAAATATTTTCCAGCACATATTGGTTATATGTTCTATCATATTATGCAGGTATGTTTGATTTGGAGTCTGGAAAAAAAATTAATTGCAGACATGCACATTTGCTAGTGGAATTTCTGTGGTAATAAGTTTGTTTCTCAAGTATCAAGCTGTTCGATTAACACCATTTGATCCAAAATGGAGAAAATTTGTATTGTTTCTTATTATCCTACCCTTAATTATTTCTGTGGTGAGTCATTCTGAAAAAGGACTGAAAATGATCTAAGTTCAGACCATGGAAGTAGTCCTTATCGTTGACCACTCTCTACCTCTGGAGATACGGGAACATTATGAACAATTGAATCTGAGCAATGAACAGTACACAATTGTGGGTGTCATAGATTTTTTGATCTGGCCATCTACAGTCAACACCTCTGTTATGGTATTATCAGTATTCATGTTTCCAGTTGTTGGGTTACTTTCCTTATGGTGAGTTTTTTTGAAAAATAATAATTTTTCTAAAAAGATGAATTTTTAAAAAATTGTGTTTTACAGGAAAATGAGAAAGCTATTCAAAAGAACATCAGACAGAGTGTCAGCAATCAAGAATACACAGAGAAGACTTTTTCTTATTGTAAGTACAAATATGTTTATTTCTCTTTATCATTTTTCATTTCCAGGGTCTTGTCATCCAAACATTTCTTCCTCTCATTTTCTATTGTCCTATTTCGCTAGTGTATTTTTATTGCATCAGAACAAGTAAGAACAATAACCACCTGAAATTTAAGATTCGCAATAAACCTTTTTTTTCAGAAGAAGAAATCCTACTTCAACAATATTTTATGTTCACGCTTCCTGCATGTCCGGCTCTTATAGATCCATACATTACATTATATTTTGTGAAACCATATCGGGATACTATTAAAAATTGGTTTACCATAAGATTGGGAACGGAAAAAGCGGTTATAGTATCTCCGGCAACAAAGAATAGTACTTTGATGATTGTGGAATAAATTACTGATATTTTGATTTGACGTTTTTCTACTAAATTGAACTCATTGACACATGTTTTGGAAAATCTGAAAAAAATTTAGAGTCAAACAATTATTTCAAACAAAATAAAAAAGCTGGAAACTTTCAAATGTGTGAAACAGATCTGAATTGGAAACTTTGAATTCACCGATTTTTTAAAAAATTTCTTACAAGGGAAGTGTTTTCAGAGGGGTGTTGAGAATTAGCTCAAAATTTGTACAAAGGTACTTTCGAACATGTTGAATACGATTTCAACAATATCTCGGTCATAACCCTAATAGGAACAAAAATATGGGCTCTCAAAGTGTTTTCGGTACTAAATTTTGACCAAGAACGTGCATTTTTCGAGCTTTAAAACTCTTTTTCCAGGATTTTTTCAAGCGGGAAACTTTTTTTGGATCATTTCTCTATCATCTAAAACATTTTTTGTACAATTTCAAAAAAAATTTTTTTTCGATTTTTGAAAAAAAAATCATCATGGGGTACCCCACACTTTAAAAGTGATTTTTTGAGAAATTTTTTTGAAAGTGCAAAAAGTTTTTCAAACATTCAGAAGTGATAGAAACATCATTTTCACAGAATTTGGCAGCTCGATTTCGTCTGTGAGCCCTGATAATTCCCAAAATCTGATAATTGCAAGAAGTTTGAGAAACTGTAACTTCTCAAATATTGCTCAAAATCGCACGGAATACACAGAAATATGTAAAGATCATTTGGATGATAGATTTGGTGGTGTTCCACTCAAAAAAAAGCAAGACGGAGCAATTCCGAGAGTCGAAAGTTTTGCTTTTGGGCGACAGGACAAGTCGAAAAAAACAATATTTCAAAATTTCATTAAAATTTCAAACACCTTCTTTTTCACTTTGAAAACGTCGGGAATTCATGAAATAAGTATAATTTGTTATTCAGGGGACCAAAATGGATATCGAAAATTAGTCTCGAAAAAAACAAAAAAAAGATTTACCACAGTGGGGTTCGAACCACCATAGTCACTCTTAATGAGTCTCCCTCTTACCGCAACACCACGCAGCCGATATTATCCTCTGGCGCGGAGTGCGTATACAATAAATTTTCAGACGAAGATTTTCAGCTTGTTGATGATACTATGACATAGATTTTTTCGTCATCGTGTTGCGGATATCTCAAACTATCAGTACTGAAACTTTCAGAAAATTCTCAACGCCCCTCCGAAAACACTTCCCTTGTTAGTGTTCCAGCTACTTGCCCATTTTTAGAAGACATTGTTTTTTAATGTTTTCAGTACAAAAACAGACTAGAAGGTGTTTTTCAGAAATCGACATATAACTGAAAAACTAGGAATTTTCGAAAGTTTCTGGAAATGAAAATTTTTGATTCTAGGTCTATTTTACACCCTTCAACATTTTTAAAGTGATCGGAAACTTGACAGCTGATTTCTATACCTGAAAATCATACTTGTCGAATTCCGGGCCGACCCGGTGACCCGGCCCGGCGGGTCGGGCCAGGCCGGGTTAGAAAACATTGTTCCGGCCCGGTCCGCCCGGGTAGCTGATTTTTCGAAAAATTTTGAATTCCACCTTAAAAACAACTTCCTGGTAAAATGCGCCCTTATAAAAGTATCGAAACTTCAAAATTCATAGCAATTTTGATTAAAACTTCACAAATTTTCAAAATACTTCGAAATTTTGAAATTTTGGAATCTGACCCGGGCCGACAGATCCGGGCCGGGTCATGGCCAGGCCGGCCCGGAGAATTTTTCATTTTGACCCGGCCCGGCCCGGCCCGTGACAAGTATGCTGAAAATGGTCAAAATAACCGGAAATCAACAGAAAAACAGGTTGTTATCTATCTAATTGACCGGTACTGTATATCAAATTTTGTAACAAAAAGTCATGAAATTGCGGTCTGTTTACAAACATCAAGTTAACCGCTAATCTCTTTTTACAATCTCAATAAAATTTTTTTTGAAAGATCTTTGTTAAATTAGCCAAAATTCCCATAGCTACATCATCTTGTTTTCCAAGTCCTAGTTCAAAAAGTCGGTTTTTGCTTTTTTTTTTCGTAAGATTATGAACCTGATTGTCACCTATTTGTCCATTTCTGACAACTCTCAAGAGGATAATGACTTCTTAAACTTTTGTTTTTCATATTCGTTTAGACGAGGCGCCAAGAAATCAAACCACACTTAATTATATAGATACCATATTTTAACCTAAAATTTTTGAGCTCAAAACACCTCCTTGTTTATCACTCTCTCACTACTTCTGCCAACGACGATCATGCATCGAGAGATTCTGTCTATACTGTTTCCAACTCTTTTCTGTATCGTTCTTCCAAGTCAAGTATTGCTTATGTACATGATCCAATATTATTCTCCCAAGTTCCTTAATAATTTGAAGTCAATTTTACGATGTAACTGTCTTTTGCAGTTTATAACTCTTTTAATAGCTTGCTCACTTCAAACGAGACAAGTTTCCAACTTGACTCCAATCGAAATATGGTGTTATGGTTATGTGAAAGACTTCGACCCCACGATTCTGTATTCGTTGTATTTCCTCTCCCAGAGTACTACTTTAGCTAGTGTGCTTCTTACATTCCTCACTATCTATTTAAAATTTGACGTCGTTCGAAACATGAATAAATCAAGTAACCAAAAATACATTGTGACGTTTATTCTTCTCATTCCAGTTGTAGTTGTGACAGTAAGAATTTGATCGAAGGGTACCCATAAATGTTTTCTAATGTTTAGGGTGCAGAAATTTTCCTAATAATTACCAAATCATTAGCATCCGAATATCAGGAAAAATTATTGAAGATCAACTTAAAGGTCACTGATCATTCTGTCATTGGCTTCATCACTTTACAAACTATTCCGAGTCAAGCGATATTCCTTTGTATAATCGGACCAGTTTTTATTCTTCCACCCATCGGTTTTCTGATCAGAAGGTTTGTTTCCTGGGCTTGGCGAATTGTTATAGAGAAAATTTTTTTTCAGAAAATTTGTCAATATTGTAAGTGCAACTCTAGAAAGGACAACGTCCACTAATCGAAAACAACAAAATCAAAGTTTTATAAATGTAGGCAAATGAAAAATAATGATTTCAAGTATTGTTTTTTTAGGGACTCACTATTCAAGTGTTCCTACCAATCGTTTGTTACCTCCCAATGTTCATTTATTTGTTCATAGTCATTGAAACAAGTAAGTGTTACTTGATAGAATGATTATTTCAAAAGTTACTTTTTCAGAAACCGAATCCCTTTTCGAGCAGTACTTTATTGGAATTTTCAGTACATTTCCATCTTTATTGGATTCCTATATAACTTCATACTCGGTCAAGACATATCGGAAGCAGATTAAAATCTTATTCAAACTGGAAAAGGCTGAGCAACCGATTGTGGTAGCTGCCATTGTTTCTCAGATGTAAAACATTTCTATGAAAATTTCTTTTTTTTTGGTGTAAAACAGACCTGGGTTGAAACCTTTGCATGCACAAAACTTTTTGAAAATTCCTAGCTTTTCAGCTCTTTTTCAATATTTGAAAGACGTCTGTTTTCAACATTTTCTGTACAAAAACGAGCCAAACAGGGGGTCTTTCAGAAATTTGTAAATAGCTGAGAAACTAGAAATTTGCGAAAAACAATGTGAATCAAGGTTTTCAATCTAGGTCTGTTAACCACAAAATTTCCAAACATCATAAAAATTTTTTCACGATCTCAATAAATTTTTTTTTTCAAAAAGAGTTTAGTTTGATTAGCCAGAATTCCCATAGCTACATTATCTTGTTTTCGAAGTCGTAGTTCAAAAAGTCGCTTTCTACTTCTTTTTTTCGTAAGATTATGAACCTGATTGTCACCTATTTGTCCATTTCTGACAACTCTCTAGAGGACTATGATTTTTCAAACTTTATTTTCCGTACTCGTTTAGACGAGGCGCCAAGAAATCAAACCACACTTAATTATATAGATACCATATTTTAACCTAACATTTCGGAGCTCAAAACACCTCCTTGTTTATCACTCTCTCACTACTTCTGCCAACGACGATCATGCATCGAGAGATTCTGTCTATACTGTTTCCAACTCTTTTCTGTATTGTTCTTCCAAGTCAAGTATTGCTTATGTACGTGATCCAATATTATTCTCCCAAGTTTCTTAATAATTTGAAGTCAATTTTACGATGTAACTGCCTTTTGCAGTTTATAACTCTTTTAATAGCTTGCTCGCTTCAAACGAGACAATTATCGAGCGTGACTCCAATTGAAGTATGGTCTTATGGTTATATAAGACACTTTAATGCCGCAATTCTCTATTCTCTGTATTTTCTTGCTCAAAGTACTACTTTAACCAGTATGATTCTTACATTTCTCACTATCTATTTAAAGTATGACACCGTTCAAAGTTTTAACAAAAAAAGCAACCAAAAATACATTGTAACATACTTGTAATCCGGGCCTTTGCCGGGCCTTCGCGGGCCCTGCCATAACTTTTTTCAGAATCAATGTTTTTGAACCAACTCAATCAGGTATGATAGAGCTCCACGAGTACTACAAAACGGTATTATTTGGAATACTGTATCTTGTTGTGAACAGAGTTACAGAGCAAAAGGAGCAAAAATAAAGCAGGCCCGCCCCGGGTCTGCCGGGCCCTGCGAGAAAAGCCACTCTGTAACTTTGATCATAGATAAGATACATTATTCCAAATAATACTGTTTTGTAGTACTCGTGGAGCTCTATCGTACCTGATTTAGTTGGTTCGAAAATATAGGCAAAGGCCCGGATTACAAGTATGCATTGTAATGTTTATTCTTCTCATTCCAATTGTAATTGTGACAGTAAGAACTTAATCAAAAGGTCTGCATAAAGTTTTTATAATGCTTAGTGTGCTGAATTTTTTCTTATAATAACCGAAACATTCTCAACTGAAGATATGGACAAATTACGGAAGATCAACTCAAATGTCACCGATCATTCTGTCATTGGCTACATCACTTTGAAAACTATTCCGAGTCAAGCAATATTTTTTTGTATAACAGTATCTGTTTTTTTTCTTCCACCCATCGGCTTGCTGATCAGAAGGTTTGTTTTTCAGTATTTCTCAAGTTGTTGTTGAGAAAAGTTTCAGAAAATTTATCAATATTGTAAGTGCAACTCTAGAAAGGACAACTTCTACTTATCGGAAACAACAAAATCAAAGTTTTATGAATGTAGACAATTGAAAAATAATGATTTCAAGTATTGTTTTTTTAGGGACTCACTATTCAGGTATTTCTTCCAATCACTTGCTACCTTCCAATATTTCTTTTCCTTTTTGTAGTCATTGAACAAAAAAATTCCAGAAACCGAATCCCTCTTCGAGCAGTACTTCATTGTAATTTTTACGATTTTTCCGTCTTTATTGGATTCCTATATAACTTTATACTCGGTCAAGTCATATCGGAAGCAGATTAAAAGCATATTCAAATTGGAGAAGGCTGAGCAAACAATTCAAGTGGCTGCTATTGCTTCTCAGATGTAAAACCTTTCTTTGACGTTTCTTTTCTTTGTAAAAGTTTAGTCGTGATTTATATTCTTCTTTTTGAATAACAGATTTTTCGTGGTTTGTAGCATCCGTTTTTATAAATGACACATAATTATTGCCTACCGTCATTGACGTCTGAACATTCAAAATCCCTAGACGTCAGCAAGATGTGATTTTGATTTTTAAAGTAGCTCATAATTTTCATAAAGTTGGTGTGTGATTCTTCCAACTTGAGTAGACAGGTGTCGGGTAGAAGCCACAAAGACAGAATGGATCAGAACAAGTCACTATCAAAAAATATATTTATTAAAAAAAAAGAGAATTAGTTATAAAAAAGGTTCACATGACCACAAAAACTGAAGGGATATGTGCGTCGGTGGTTGCTTGTTTTTCCCGTTGAAACCTCTTTTTTATAGTCCTACGATATGGAGTGATGAAATACATAGAAATCAGTGGGTCGAGAACAGTCGAAATCACAGGGAGTTCGAAAATCAAGTATTGTTGAAACAAGACCTCTTGTTCTGAAAAGATCTTATTGAAACACAGTTAGGGGTTTACATAACTGGTGATTAAATGTACAAAAACATGTTCATCAGTTGATTTGCAACCAGTTTGACTTTTTTCGTGTGTCGGCTGTCAAGTTTCTGTTCTGTTTGAAAGTTTTGAAAAGCGTAAAACAGGTCTAGATAAAAATATTCCTCTCACAGAATGTTCTGAAAATTTTTTGGAGCTATTTGACGATTTCTGGAAGACATCTCGTCTTGTCCCGTTTTTGTGGTCAAAACCTAAAAATGGCCAAAAATCAACTGAAAAATACGTTTTGGCCCATCTTATTGACCGGTACACACCATACATGTGGATGGCCGGGCCGGGCCGGCCCGCTTGCCTCAAAACCTTTGGCCCGCCTAGGACAACTTTTCGAAAATTTTACTTTTCGAATGTGCCAAAACATTTATAATGGCACAAATATTAATCCAAATGCATACAACCATCCGAAAAAGGCCAATTTAATTGAATTTTCAGCAAAAAATCAAACTTCATTAAGCCTTTTTTTCTAATTACGAAACTTTTTTTCTAATTACGACTTCAAAACAGTTTTTGTCGACAGTATCGGCTTCTAGTGTGGATTTTCTTTCACTAAGAAGAAAACCCATCTTGAAAAATGACGATTCGCTCTAAAATTTCAAAATTTTCAAAAAGCGGGCCGGCCAGGTGTAATTTTTTTCCGTCCCGGCCCGACCCGGCCCGCAGGCCGGCCATCTTTTCCAAAAGTATGGGTACACACAGTCAAAACTTAGATTCAAGAATTGATACTGACAACTAACGGAACTGAAGAAAATAACAATGAAAACGAATATTTTATGCTTGATAAAAACTATGAAATACAGAATTTTCCTACAAAAATACACTTAAAGGAGGTCAGACATAAAAGAAAAGCTCAGGGGTACAGCGCCGCTACCGGGTGAGCTACTGAGGCGCAAAGGCGACTTCCGACCGATGGTCTACATAAGCGTGGCGCGATTTTGTCCCCCAAACTGTCCCCCAAACGTTTTCCTATCTGGCCCCTATCAACGACTCTATTTTATAGTGAGTGCGAAATGAAAAAGTGAAAAAGAAAAAGTTCTTCAATTTATGAAGGTTCGTTATACGAAAAATTAGCAAAAATGGTCAGTTTCCATAGTCGCATAGTTTTGTTGGATCTTTTAGAACTCACTTGCAATGGTTGTGTAGAGTTGGCACAAGAACACCGGAACATACAGAAACAAGGGTAGGACTACTTGGATGGTGAGACCCTAAAATTTCAGAAATGACAATTCAGTGAGATTTGTGAATTCTTACTTTCAAAAATGTACGAGTTTGAGATCGTTTAGACTCCGAAATAGTGTCAATTGTTGACGTGATTTTCGAAGACACTTTTCTTCAAAAAAAAAAACGTTCATGAATGTGAATAGCCGTTTATCAAATCTTACCTTCTGAGAAATTCTGCCGTAATTGGGATGCCTAACACTAAAGTGTTAATGATAACATAATTGATAGCGCTCGGCAAAACGGATAGATCCACAAATCCTACATTTGCATAATCGGTGAGATTTTGGTTGAGAATGTAGTAATGTTCTCGGATATCTGCAGGCCATGATTGCATGAAAATTAAGAAGACTTCACAGGTCTGGAATCGAGTGGTTAGATCAAAAATTGCTACGCTTCTTCAAGATTTACCACAGAAACAGCAACAATACTGATGAGTATTCCTGCAACCGTACCAATTCTTCTTTTTGAAGGGATCACATATTCCGAAGCGTCGTTCAGGAGGAAGATCTCTACGATGCTTCGGTGACAATGTACCGATATAATACATACAAAGTCCAGGTACAGTACCGTTTCAAGCTTCTTATTCTGTAATCCTTCTTATTTCCAGCAAAACCAAAGCACTGAAGAGTGTCAGCCGATCGAGATCTTTTGCAGAGGTTCATAGATGCTGAGAGGAATGAAAAGAAGAAGGCGACATTTGAAGAAGGAGAATGTGCAGTTTGTTATGCAAAAATTTTTAATTTTTTTAAAAGGACCTATCCAAATGAGATATGTGCCTAAGCTATCACGCGAAATGTATCTTAAATTTTGTTGAGAGTGAAGCTTTGTGCCCATACTGTAAAAATCCTTATTTTAATGCTGATGATTCACCTGTTTTGTATTAATTTTTATTTCTACTTTGTTATTACTCATCTAATAAATTTTTCTCGTATCTTTTTTTGCTACAGGAAGTTGGGAAAAAGAGAAGGGCCATAGTTGTTCCGGTGAAACGAGAACCTCACGTTTTAGAATTCAAAGGTTTTAGAAAAATAATTTTAGATAAAAACTACGATTTCTTTTTCATTTAAATCGAAAAGTTCATATCTAATCTAACATTCTCATTTTAACCTTTGAATTCACAGAATTTCTGAAAATTCCTAATTTTTCAGCTATTCGCCCATTTCTGAAAGACAACCATTCCTGGCCAGTTTTTGTACTAATCGAATCAAAGTCTACCCTTCACAATTTTCAAAGCTTTCGGACATTTGAAAGCCGAGCTCCAGATTCTTGAAAATTGTCAAAACCAACTGACATGAAAAAGCGTATTTGTAATCTCATTGACTCGTACTGTATTTGGATGTTTTGCAGAGTTTCGTACTCTCATTTATTCATAAAATGACGCCTCTATACTTTCACAAGAATATTAGGTTGGCGGGAAAGTCTTTGTCACTTTTTCAATAGTTTATTTCTAAAAGAAAAAATAACCGAATAATTAATTATATTGTCCATCATTATCAACAACATGTCTCCAACGTTCCCTCAATTTATGGATTCCATTGCGGTAGAATCCAGCCGGGCGTGAGGCAAAGTATTGTTTGAGTGCCGCTTCGACCGCTCCACGGGAATTGAAGCTTCTTCCTTCGAAGGCACGTGTCATATCGCCAAATAACCAATAGTCGGAAGGAGCAAGATCAGGAGAATACGGGGGGTGAGGGAGAACATTCCATCCATATCCCATCAGCTCCTGCTTCACTTGTTTCGAAACATGTGGGCGAGCGTTATCATGTTGATAGTACACTTTCTTGTCTTTCAGGGCCGAACGGTCGACTGCTTTCTTGAGGTTTCGTAGTTGAGTAGTGTAGAGGTCTCCAGTTATTGTTTTGCCCTCGGGCAGAAGTTCCCAGTAGATGGGGCCGTCCACTCCCCACCACACAGAGAGCATAACTTTTTTCGGATGAAGGTCGGGTTTGGGGACATCCTGTGGGCTCTCTCCTTCTCCAACCCACTGGGATTTCCTGTGGTGATTATCGTAGAAGACCCACTTCTCATCTCCGGTTATTAGCCGGTCCAGCCATCGATCGCCCGCGTGGAGAGTGAGAAGAGTAATCGAATCGTCGACTCGGCGGTCAAGGTTGGCTTGAGTCAGGTGATGAGGTATGAATCGACCAAAAAGTTTTCTCATTCCAAGAGACTTCAAACCTTCAAGGACTGTGCTATGGTGAACTCCGAATGTGACAGCTAGTTCACGGCTAGATTGAAATGGATCCGATTGCAATGCGTGCTTCGCTTGTCCAAATCCAACTCACGGGGTCTCCCAGAGCGATCCTTTTCATCGAGCGAGAAGTCATCTTTTTCGAAACGATGGAACCAATTGCGAATAGTATTGTAGTGAGGGGCATGTGTGTTGTACACATTCTTCAAGAAAGTTTCCGAATCCTTCATCGTGGTGTGAGATAGGAAGAGGTAAATCAAAACATGTCTGATGTGAATAGCAGTGGGAACAAACATATCGTTTCAATTACAGATGAGGAGCAGGGAAGGAGATGGGGACTTGTTTATATGGAAGGTTCTTATCACCTTGTTATTCACTAAAGTCGATATCATACACAGCCTCCATATACGAGAACAGTGATTAAACAAACAGAGTGACAAAGACTTTCCCGCCAACCTAATATCTTGAAATGTAAAGCGATAGCCGTAATTTTCTGAAATTTCGAAAAGTCTGATATTCTGAAAAAAACGAAAGTTACGAAAACTCGAAAAAATGTTGGAAAATTCCGAAAAATCAAAAAACTAAAGAAATTTCCGAATATTCCAATTATGAAACTTTCTAAAAAAACTTTCTGTAAATTTCAGAAATTTTCGGAATTTTCGGAATTTTCGGAATTCAGAACGGATCGAGTCTTTTGCTCTATGCGGAACTTCTTCATTTTTTTTAAATACTTAAAACGTAACAATTTTTCGAAATTGTTGGAATTCATGCAATGTTTGAAATTACCAGAATGTTCTCGAGTTTAAATAAATGATGAAAGCGATCACTACAAAATATTTTTTGTTCTAAATTATCTTTCAGGTTTGAATTCTTTCTAATTTTCTAAATTTTAAAAATTTTCTGCAATTTCTAAACGCGTTTAAAATTCAAAACTTTCTTGAAATGTTGAAATTTTCCTGTAATTTTGAAATGCCTTGAAAAATTTTTCTTATTTTATGGGATTGCTGCATTTCTAATTCTTCGATTTTCCCGGAAATTTTGTTGCTTCATCTTCTTGGTTCACCTCCTAACGAAGAATATTGTTTCCTCCCCAACACGTTTTTAAATCTCGCAAATTTCGTTAATATTTTTTAATTCCCGTTAATCTCTATTTTAATTTCCTTTAATGTTTCTTTTGTAATCTATTGTAACCGTTAATCTTTCATTAAACATGTAGTGTTTCCTCGTTCGCAATTCTTTAAAATTGTGGGATTTTCGTTTATCTCTCTTTCGTTCACGGTTAATCTCTCTTTCCCGTTAATCTCTCTTTTAATTTCCGTTGATCTATCTTTTGCAATTTCTATTAATCTATCATGTAGGGTTTCTTTACCCTTTTCAACTAGATGATCATTTAAAAGTGGGCGGAGAATGATGTGACCGTCGGCCATCAGACTTCGTTTTCTTCAGTCTTTCTCTATGACGACCTGACTGAATGGACGTCTAATTTATTTGTTTTGATTTTTCTGGTATTTCTTACTATCTATTCTATTTTATCGATTCGCGTTCAAGGTTAGTGAAGAAGTATCAACAGATACATAATAACATTCCTGCGGTTTAGTACATTATCAAAAACAGTAAGGAAAATAGGGAACGAAGACTTTAATGTGATTCAACTGTTCCTGACAAATTCGAAAATTCAACAAATATTCATTAGTATAGATCCAGCATTTCTGGGAGTGAAAAAATAACAAATATTGTAATAGCCAGAAAATTTTTTCAAAAAAAAATTCTAAACTTGAAAAAGACGATGTCAAGACAAACCTAATTTGAAGAATCATATCACTGTACAATTTAAAATTAAAAATTTTTCTTCTCCGTTTTGCCCCATAATAATAGCAAAGCGTATTCCTCTAGTGAAAAATAACGCAAATAAGGTATTTGAGTAGATTTCACATTCTGATTCCGTCATAGTCTCCGTAATATACCCATTTTATCTCAAAATGACAACAAAATAAATGGTGAACCAGGAAAACCAATACGTTATAAATCTTCCTTCCGTCATAAGTAAGTGATGATGACGCAAAGAATTTATTACATAGCAAAATTTGTTCTCTCAGTCCCTGTCTAGATTGATCTAGATTACTGTTTTGAAATGCGTAGGGCGACCAAAAAGAGCGAATGCGTTGGATACATAGAAAAAATTGCAATAAAAATGAAAAACGATTAAAAATGATTTTTGACAATTTTTAACCTTCAAGTCTAAGTTTTTGTCACATTTCCGTTTTGAGCGTCAAAATTCAGAAAAATCAATTATTAGGACTTCTGTACCTTGTTAGAATAACACTTTTGTTAAAATTAGTCGAAAGTTTATGAAAAAATAAGACGTCTACATTTTTCTTTTTCCAGAAATCTCCAATCAAATTCCGTCCATATCCACATCACAAAGAAATAGGTATCGAGATTGACGGCGTCAAAATTCCTGACGTCGACATCATAGAAGGCAAAATCTCGTAAAATGACGTTCCACATTCAGAAGCCATGGATAAAATATTTTGAGAAAGTTTGTGGGCTGAGTTAGAGGCGGGTAATGATAAATTCGAAAAAAGGCAGAAGTCGGATTCAGAAGACGTTTGA